GCGTTGTTACGTGGTTTGGTGCTCCCCTTTTCTCTATTATGTGATTCAACTCAATCTTCATCATTCATTTCTAATACAAAAAAATGGATGGCATTGGTTCATCTTCTCCATCAAATAAAGAACCAAGAACCTTCCATGATCAAACAATAAGATCTCGCTCGTTTCTCAACCAAATCACACGGGGTTTGTTCCTACATGTTTATCTAGTCAAGACAACGCTATCTATACAACTAATTGGACATGCATTGTTGGTTTTATTCAAAAAAATACCAAACAAAGAATAAAACTTAAGTATTTTGATCTATACCTTTTCCAAAGAGGTGAGGCCTTAATTGGGCTTTAAAGAGTGCTTCATCTTGATGTCACGAGCCCTTCCTTCATTCAATTTGTGCTAAATTTGGCTATAATTATGAGCTAAACCAAATGGTGTCACAGTTCATGTTAGAATGGGTTAAAGTTCTTGAGAAGGCTAAATTTTGGTAGGGTAGAGTGTCTTAAATCTTGGTGAAGCTTGTGGAAGGGTTTGATTTGAGTTTTGGAAAAGTTGATGTCTAGGTCAAAAATTGCCCTGGATTTCATGAGAAGGCTCAATTTTTGTAGGGTAGAGTGTCTTAAAGCTTGGTGAAGCTTGTGGAAGGGTTTGTTTTGAGTTTTGAACAAGTTGATGTCTAGGTCAAAAATTGCCCTGGATTTCAGCGACAAAATTAAGTTTAACTGATGGAGGGTAGGGCTTGAAGATGATGAGGATCAACTGCCTAGATCAGGGGGTGCACTTTTGTTGTTGAGAGCAAGTGGGCTAGGTGGCTCTATGAAGAGTTTTAATGTCTATTGAGGCTCTCGGGTATAGGCCATTTATAGCCATGGAAGATTAGGGCTAGGTTGATTTATGAGGAGTTTTATTGTCTATTTAGGATCTCAGCTTTGGGCTATTTATAGCCATGGGAGATTATGGTTGATATTGAACAGATATGGAGAAGCTCTGGCGGCTCCTCAGGTTTTAGAGGAATATAAGGAACATTTGGCAGTAGGGAGAAGATTTTATTTTTCATTTCTCCATTTCTTGGACATGGTGATGCCAATGGGAGTAAAGGTGGCATGAGAATGTGCTTAACTTGATTGGGTAGGTTTTTTGGTGGGTGGCTAAGACTATATTTGGTCTGGTCTTGGCTCCCCAAGGTCTAGTTTAGCTCCATGACCAAGGTGACACCTGTCTCCTTCCATGGTAAAAAGCGTATGGTTTTTCACTTAGAGCTTGGACTGATGTCGAATTATTTTTAATTATTTTTTTTTCTTTCACTCATGTGTCATGATGGGTCATGGTTGGGTTATGGACAACAAATGAAGGATGGGCCATGGGCTTGGTTTTTGGGTATTGGGATTTTATGATATCCTAATGTTCTTGAGATTAGTCCGAAAATCCAAGCTCTAATGGCTTCTCATAAATTGCCTAATTAAATAATTTGGTGAATTATGAGGGTTGGTTCCAATTATTTCCCCCAAATGTTTTAATGACTTGACAACACTAGGTGGGACCTAATTAAATTGCCATGGAGTCAACTTGTCAAAAATTGATCAAAATTAGGCTAGGCCCAATTAGATTTGACCACCCATGATGTCATCAAGCCTTTGGGTCACATGGGTGTGTCGAAATTTCTTATTGGTTCTTTATAAGGTTTATTTCGGTTTGGGGAAGCTTTAGGTGAAGCTAGGGATCAATTTGGGTAGACCCCCTTCTTAATAGTGAATTATTGTGCTATGGTGCCCTCTAGGATTTATGGAAAGATTTATAGGGTTTTGGCACTGGGGGCATGTCTTACTCTTGAGGGGGGCGGGGGTGGCATGGGTTTGTGGCTTAGGCTTGTTCTGATGAGACCTTAGGGAGCATAACCCCAGTATTGGGGTTATGTGCATGTGATTGGACGGACCCTCACAAAAGTGAGGTCAACAAAGATCAGTTGACCAAATGTATTTCATTCATTGTTACTATGATCACCTATGATAATTGGTGGAATTTTGATTGTTGGTAGTTGTTGACCACACTTTTCTGAGGACGTCTTTTTTTACTATAAAAGCTTAGGATCTAGCTTTAGAGTATCCTAGTAACTTTCTTAGATGTGTAAATATGGAACTCACCAACATAAAACTTCTAAACAATTTTCATTCAATTGGGTTTTCATTAGGTTAAACCCAAATCCTCAACTATTGGCAGAGATGAAGAGAGTTGAAACTAGTAGAAGCTCAAGGTGAATCCTTATATGTGGAGGATGCCCTGGGCAACTCATGGAGTCTAGAGTCCTAGGAACCATTGTGATGACCTACTGACCGGCCCTAAAACCCTCTTTAATCTAGATGAAGCCCATTTGGGATGATGCTAGTTCTGGTCTAGAGAAAGGTTTTCTCATTGTACCATAACCTCAAACTGAAATAAGAAAATCTTAACATGAAAAATTTAATTCAAAAGAAAATTAGATCACCAAGGTTATGTTTGAGCCCACCTAATGCCAACACCAAACAAAGAAACTCTAAGAAAAAATAACCACATAAATACACTATATTAATCCCTAAGCTTAAAATACTCAACACCCTTTAAGGAAACTAAAATCAAACAAGCTTAATGAAAAATTAAAATAAATTAAATTAATAAAACATTATGAACACATAGAATATTGTGGAAAATCGGAATGAAAGTAGTTGGCCAAAGAGGCTATAATGGAAGGATACAATTACAACACTTAGCCACACAGGCTTTATTAGGAAGCTAAAGTATTAACTAGCAACATGTACCATAATGGGTCGCTACTAAAGATCAGTTGAACACAATGATTGTAGTGGAAGGAAGTAATAACAGACGTAAGCCACATAGCCTGTAGAGTGGGAAGTTGTAGTAATAACTCGCCTCAAAGTTCAAACTTGTTCACTAAGAACAGACAGTTAGCCAAAGATTTTTTAATGGAAGTTTAAAATGATAGCAGCTAGCCATGTAGCCTGTAGTGGAAAGCTACGACATTAACCAACAACATAAGCCATAGTTGTTGCTACACCTATTGAAGGCTGACCCTTCTCTTGAGCTTATTATCTTAGGACCAAAACAACACGTGATTCACATAAGCCATAGTTATTGCTACACATATTGAAGGCTGAGCTTATTATCTTAGGACCAAAACAACACGTGATGACATACAACGTATAGAAAGCCTTAGAAGTCCAGACAAAGTCACCACATTCTAAATATGTCGGTTGTGAGTAGGTTTCAGAGGGATTTATTGCTAGATCTTCAATATGACATTATTTATTAGACCATATTTGGGGTACTTTTTTACACTGCTTTTGGAATACTTTATTATAGCATATTCGAGATACTTTGTTACACAGTAATCGAGATACTTCACCACATCTTATTCTGAAAACATCATTATAAGGTTTTTGGGATACTTCGTTGCACCATATTTGACATACTCTGTTGCATCGTATCCTAGATTCTTCGTAAACAATCAGAGTTCACCAATATCAGTAAGTTGGTGGTGACCTGTGTTAGCTCACGGTGCTCGATGAGCGGTGGCAGAAAACCATTAGTTGCTATGGAGGCCAAATAATTTTGCTTGGTCTTTAGTCAAGGACAACACTAGAATTTGAGTTATTCTTCTTCCCTCTCAAGTGAAGAGGGGTGGGTCAATTTATAGTCATAGAGAAGAGGTATTTTTGTCATATGAAGAATAACTCTCGAAACCGCTTGATCGGACGATTTTTTTTTATCCCTTAATATAAATTATTTTCTAAAGATTTGATGACTATAAATGACTAGAATTCGGGGAGTATAGACTCGTTAGATTGCTCTCATCGAGATGCTCAATTTCAAAATACATATATCAAATTTGAAATCTATTTGACCATTCAATTAATGATCTAAACCCAACAAATGTGCTTAAATGACTAGATTGGTGCTTGATCGGAGTCAAGTTGGACAATTTTGGTATAATTAGGTTCATCTCGGATGATCCTGTATTTGAGTTTCGAATAATTAAAAAAATGTCACCAAATTAGTGCCAAATAATAAAAATTTGTTGATAATGCATTAATTATATTCAATTTGGTTGTGTAATCGAAAAGAAAAAAATAATAATAACAATTTAACTAGGTGTCTTGAACGGGATATCCCTTGAGGGGTTGCATGGAGCATTGCTTCGATAAGTTTTGTCCTTATATTCTGAAAAGATGCCAATGAGAACAGGAAGAATCAATTGGTTGGGGATTGCAGTAATCGTGCTATGATATTTTTAACTGGACATTTTTGCGAACGTAATCAAAATTTATAATATATTTATAATCTATAAATATATTCTATTTGTATTACTCCATTAAAAATAACTAAATTTAAAAATGATAATTTTTTAATATCATTTATATTATGAAGGATAGAATTCGCAAATTGGGTTAAGAAATTGGGTCTGTGTTTGGCATAAATTTGACCACAGAAACAAGAGATCTAAATATTACCCATATGTTAAAAATGTCATAAAATCTCCCTAATCCTTACTTGCTCTGACCTTACTCAGTCGGACCATGACGGACTGAATTATTTAATCCAAATAAAAGAAATTTTTCATGTCCAATTCGTTTAAATTGGGGCCAAGTCCACATTTTTTAGTGAAATTTGGACTAATTTCTTAATAACAGCTCAATTCAAATTCATCCTAAAAATGAAATGAGTTTGTGTTATAAAAATGAACTCAACCGAAAAGTTAATTAGATCAACACATTCAGATATCTTCCACTCTGTTTGAGAAGAAGTTAATTCTAGAAATTTTATTGTTATAAATTTCTTTTCTAAGAAGATAGAATTTTTAAGATCTTTATTTTAATGAATACGTTTTTTAATCAGAAGGTGATATGAATAAAATAATAATAAATTCTTATTAAGAAAATCGATATGTCTTTTACCATTTGGGCTAGTTTCTGCTATAAAAGTCCTGGGAGATGGAAATTAATGGCAATAAGAGAGACTTGAGGTTAAGAGTGCAACACACATGGAAGTTCTCCACATCCTCAGCTCATTTCTCATCCTGTTCCTCATTCTGAAATTCAAGAATTCAAAACGGCGCCTAGAAGGTGGATGGAGGGAAGCCCCAGGCCCATGGAATCTCCCCATCATTGGGAGTCTCCACCTTGTCGTAGGCCGACATCCTCCCCACCAGTCCTTTCGTAACCTCTCTGCAGTCTATGGCCCCATCATGAGCCTTAAGCTTGGAGATATCAAGGTGGTCATCATTTCCTCGGCTGAGGCCGCCAGAGAAATCATGAAAACACACGACATCGACTTCGCCTCACGTCCTGTGAACGAGTCAGTGGAAGCCATCTTCTATGGTTCCAACAATATGGTATTTGGCCCATGCAACGAATTTTGGCGCCAGATGCGTCGACTATGCAGCATGGAGTTGCTCAGCATAAGACGCGTTCGTTCCTTCAGAGCGGTAAGAGAGGACGAGGTCTCTCATCTCATCAGACACATAGCAGCTTCATCGGGTGTCGTAGTCAACCTCAGTAGTAAGATGGCGGAGACCAGCAACAACATCATGGCCCGGGCATCCATTGGCGGTCGGTGCGATGACCAAAAGCTCTTTCTATCAGCACTTAGCGATGCAGTGGAGATTTTGTCTGGATTCACCATCGTGGATTTGTTCCCCTCTATACCATTCATAAGTTTGCATACGGATCACTGCTTGTGTTGTTTTACATTTTACCTTGTCATATTAATATCTTAATATTATTTCGGGAGAAAATAGTAACATCTTTAACTTATAACGGCAGCATAACCTTGATTTTTGTTTTATCATAACTAGAAAAGTTAATCGAATTTCAACCCAGGGCGTATCACCGGATATCTGAAGGGACTTGAGCAATGTGGGAAGAAATTGGATACAATGGCTGAAAAAATTGTTGAAGAACACAAGGAGAAATGGGCCAAACACGTTTCTAACAACGATAATGGGCAGTTGATGGAAGAGGATCTCACTGATGTTCTTCTAAGGGTTCAACGGGAAGACAGCCTTCAGTTCCCGATCACCAACGACAACATCAAGGCTCTAATCAATGTAAGTGAGCTCCTTAAGACTTTAATCATCTAGACTCACTACACGCATGCAAACTATTTCCACAAAAAATGAATGTATGAATATTTGATTAGGACATGCTCATGGCTGGAAGCGAGACGACTTCAACAACCTTGGAATGGGCAATGTCGGAGATGGTTCAAAATCCTACCATTATGGAAAAGGCACAGAGGGAAGTAAGAGAAGTCATCGGTAACAGTGGCGGACTAGAAAATCTGGCAGATGAGAAGTTGATAAGTGGTAGGCTAACATACTTGCAATTAGTGATCAAGGAGACGCTAAGACTGCACCCACCGGGGCCACTACTACTACCCCGAGAAAATCAAGAAAGTCAGGTGATTATGGGTTATGTTATACCAGCCAAGACGAAGGTGATGATTAACATGTGGGCGATAGGAAGGGAAGAAAAATATTGGGGTGATCCTGAAAGTTTTCGTCCAGAAAGGTTTGAAGAGAACCATGTAGACTTTAAAGGGGCACACTTTGAATATGTGCCATTTGGTGCAGGCAAGAGAATATGTCCTGGGATGCAGTTTGCGTTATCCACGTTGGAGATAATTTTGGCTCATTTGCTATACTATTTTGACTGGAAGTTTTTGGGAGAGAAAGGGGAGAAACTAGACATGACAGAAGCCTTTGGTATCACAGCAAGGAAGAAGGCTCCTCTTGTGTTGTTGCCCACCCTTCGATTTCCTATCAAATCTGCATCAGTGTGACATCTGTGGGTGATTTTATGCAGTATTAACCATGTGTGGATCATGGATTTGACAAAGTGCGACATGGTAAAAATGTTGTGAGCAAGAATATAAATGAGGCAAGTTATTTCAATGCTTAATAATAAAGTTTTAATTAAAAATTTGGTAAATGTGCCCATATTGTCATCCATATAAAATACAAAATGGATTTATTATTCAAGGAATAATAGAAATATGAAGATACCTGAGCGAAAGTCAAAAATAAAATATATCACTAAGAATATATAAGCATAAACCTTGGTAATCTTAGTCTACAACAAAGGTTTAAACCACAACTAAACTATGTATGGTGGTTTAAAACACTATATTTCCCTTTAGGTTGTTAAACATCACAAAAATGTTTTCAATGAGGTTTTTCAAACAGCCGTGAAAACATAACGTAAATCTCATGATTTAAATCACCTTACTATTCCTGGAGCATATGTAGCGATTCAAACCATTATATATCCAGAATAATAATGACAATTTAAGTTGTTATAGTAGTAACAATTTTTAAAAGAATAATCCACACTCGTGTAAAATAATTTCAATCATCTTTATGTTTATACATTACACACCTGTGTAAAATATTTTAAAAAATATTTTTATTTATGTTTAAGTGTACCTTGCAATGCACACTATACAAGCTTTACATTTCTTGAGAGTTTTGATGAAGTGTAGAAAGAGTAAGGAAGATTTACATATGATTTTTGTTAATTTAGAATAAGCTTATATTTAGAGAGTAAGAGTACTTTGGATAGTTCTAGAAAATAGAAGTTGTTGGCATCATTTCTTTGATGTCACGAGTGTAGGATGTCAACATGAATATTATGAAATCTTGCTTTATGCATGTGTTGATTCTCTTAGTCACAAACAATCATCATGAGCCTCCTGTACGTGTTCTTTACATGAAACACGGGTTGTTGTTGACTCAGTCAACCTGCACAAGTGATGCGGTGGTTTTGTGGTGAGTTGTAACTTGTAAATATCTTTCAATACTACAATATACACACAACAACATGAGTAGTAAATATGCACTTAAATCTAAAAAAAATAAATTCAATATAAAAAAATTTATCTTTTATAATCTTTAAGCTATCAAACCGTAATAATAATGCAAGTATACGTTTCGCTCAAGTAATAAATAACTATAATTGAGTCCTATGTATCGATCTCACAGGGTGTTGGAAATTCTTAAGGTTATAACGTCAAATGCAATATTCAAGCTATAAAACTTAAGTAAGCAAAACAAATTTAAAGTAAATTTGATGTGAGCTAAATGAAATGCAGTTAAAAGAACTAAGTTAACTTAACTAACTGTTTAATCTCAAAAATAAACTTATAAAGACTAAACAAAGTTTTGTAGTAAAGATTTCAAATTAAAAAAAAACATCTTTCCCCTTTACAATGAGTTTATGGATTGTGAAGTAATTAAAATTAATTAAAATACATATAAAATTGTATTGTGCCAAAAAGGAGTAATCATATTATTTACCCTCTGAGAGTGCATAAAGAATATTGATTAATCCAAAGTTTGGTCCCTAAATTCATGGTTAGGTTGAGAGGATACTCGCTGCTACTCCAGAGCTCTCACTTATCCTTCCTCTGAGGGATAGAAATCTCGCTTTAGTTTCCAAGCAACGGGACCAAATTGTGGATTTTAATCTGTCACTTTAAAATCTCCAACACGCAACTGCATGAACTAACTCTTACCCATGAAATTGAATGTGACTCTTACCTTGTTATGGAAATCATAGCCATTTCAGATCTTGTATTTCTCAACAAGTTTTAACTTTTCAATTGGTCAGATAGAAAAAGTAAATGAAGATCAGAGTTTGAATCATCACAATTTATTGACATTTAAAACCTTATATAACAAAATTAATTCTTCACAAATATCATATCACATCTTAAGGAGAAAAATAAATAAGACTACTGAAAATTTCTTAGAATCATACAAAAAAACAAAGATTTTATATATATAAATAAGTTTACAAAACAAAGAAAGGAGAGAACACAACTTATCAAACTCTCCTTCTCAAGAAAATCCCTTGAAGTTCATTTTAAGAACATTCACTGTTTACAATCACACTTAATTCTCTCTTAGAAATGTAATGAAGAAGAAATCTCTCACATTCCCTCTCCTCTTATAACTCTAGAAGAAAATACTCTCTTCTCCGTAAACTTCTCTCTCCAACCAACCTCTCTTAAAATCTCTCACCCCTGACCCCTTCTTCTCTAGACCCCTCTTTTTTTTTAATTAGGGTCAGCCTTCATTTCAAGAGAATTTAAAATTCTCTCATTTTTCCGAAAAGGCACACCTCTTCACACCAAGAGACAAGTCCATTCATTTAAGAGCCTTTTCTAAAGTGTTTATATGCATTAAATGACTCCACCGGATGCTATAATTGATTGGAGCTTTCAAAAACTGCTAAAAATAGTCACTAACCGTCTTACTCCATCTTATTTCATCTCTGACGCCTTTGATGTCAGCATTTGGAAACTCTCACTATTCTGGATTATGGCGTCAATTCTAGCGCTTATGGCGTAGCTTCTCTATAAAATGGCGCCTAGCGGCGCCAGTTCCTTACGCCTCTGGTGCCAGCTCTCTGGAAAATGGCGTCTCTCACGCCAGGATGCTGAAAAGCTCCGTTTTCACTCCAAATTTCTTCCTTCTTGCTCTTTTTTGCTCCAATTTCCTAAAATCAATATACCTGTAGCAAAACATGAAAATATGCTTCTTTAAAACGAAATACTACCAAATTTAAGCATAAAATGAATACATAAAATTGAACATTATTTTGGTGTTTTAAAATCCTCCAAACTTTACTTGTTCTTGAGTGACTCTTTTACTACATATAAATATGACTTATGACAGAGATTAACTTATAAAATTCTATAATTTGGTTTAATTAATATAATAGTATAACTTAAAAAAAAACTTTTAACCACTTAGTTTAAAACTACAATATAAGAATACCTAATAATCAAGTCTAAAATTTTTGAATCTCCATTCATTTCAAGAGAAATTGTAATTTGTCATGTCAAAGATACTTACAATATCTATATGAAAAAGAATTTCATGAAAGCTTTATTAGTAAGGATGTTAATAACAAGATACAAGTTTAAAAAATATAATAAAGCCTTTTTCCTTAAGTTGATTCAAGTGAAGACAATTTCTGATTAGGCATCTCTTCAAGCTTCTTCTCTCATATTTTTCTTTTTTTTTCTTTTCTTTTCATTTTTTTTTCTTTTCTCTAAGATCATTTTCAGTTGTTTCTCTTTTTTCTTTTTCATGTGAGGATTATTATATCTGGACTAAGATCATTTTCAATTGTTTCTCTTTTTTCTTTTTCATGTGAGGTTATTATATCTGGATAACTTTTAATAATGTTGAACTTCACTATCCTCTTCTTAAAGTTAAGACTTCTTATCTTCCTTCACTTCATAAATTCATATTAGCTTTGAAGATTTTTCATAAAGTCTCCTTCTTTTCTTCTTATTGTTGACCTCACTTTTGCTTGAGGTCTAGTTTTTCCTCTTTAGTAGCCTAGGTTCTTGACATAGGACTTTCTTGTTGACTAATCCTAGAGGACTAGAAAGGAACCCTCATCATTAGAAACTTTAAACTCTTATTTGCTCAACTTGAAGTTCCATATACTGGTCCTAACATCTAGCACTTAGTAGTTGGGACCACTACAAGGGATCTCAAGAAGAGTTCCCATAAGATTGCTTGGCCTTTGGGTCAACCTTCAGGTGGTGTGGTTTTGGTTGCTGTCACTCACAAACCTGCACATTACACCCCACTCACAACACTAAACCCAAATATGTTAACTTTGATCCCTTATTCTTTTGGGAGACTCATGTAGATGGTCCCTTAGACCCACTAGCCCGAGGCAAGGGTTTAGATAAGACCAGTACATGGAGGACCTTCAAATGGAGATTCCATTGATCCATGACTCAAATAGGGTGGTTGACATCTAAATTTCACCAAAATACTTAACTTAGCCTTTTGCCCCTAAATCTACCTAATTTACGAAAACACCCCCAAATCCTAAGTTTGACGAAAATTCTTAATTTCACCCAAATTACCTAAATTTGTTCAAAAATCATCTCAAACCATTTGAAACCACCCAAATTGCTCAAAACCTCAAAAAGTGCCAAAATTACCAAAATACCCCCAAAATTGCCTAAATTACCAAAATACCATTGGTGGCCCAAACTTCCCCAAAACCATCAAAATTATTTCAAATGTCCCCAAAATCAATTTGGATCCAAAATCAATTTGGACTCCTCAAATGAACTCAATTTGATCAATTTGATGAATTTTGACCAAAAGCCCCAAATTGCCCTTAAAGGCCCAATTACCCCAATTCTCACCTCCCCACCTCCAATTTTCCCCAATTTCAATTCTAAACTCACATTCATCATGAAAGAACTCAATTCAGACCAAATCTCAACCCAATTGACCCATACTTTGAGCCCAATTTCACCCAAATCCAAAACCCCCAATTTTGACTTAATTTAGCCATGTCTCCAAATGTCCTCAAATTGAATGACCAAATCCCATATTTGGCACCCAATTAATGTTGAAAACTCTTCATAGCATCCCCCTAGACCAATTTGAACCCTCAATTTGGACTTAGCCAAACCCATGGAAAATTGACCAAACCAAAGCCTTTACCACCACCTTCTTGGCCCTATGACCAGGCTTGACACACCAAGCCCACCCTATGGGAGCCATGGACCAATGGTCTCTTGATTTAAGGGATCTTATCCTTTTTTTTACTTAAAATAAAATATACTTACCTTCATGCCATACCATTAGGAGTTAAGCATAATTAAACCTCCCCCTGGCTCACCTGGCTACCTGACCCCCTCCCCTACTCTGGCCAGCCACCCTAATCACCTGAAAACACTAAAACTGGGAGCCCCATACCTCCTACCAAACCCAAACTCACCCATCTCAGCTTGCCCATTCCAATTGGCTTTGGCACATTTAAAACATCCACATAAGCATTAGTTTGCACCCGCTAATTCGCCCTGGCAGCCACCTTAGACCATTTTATTCAAACCTCTCTCTCATAGAAAAAACATAAAGCAAGCCAATTTCCTTGGGGAGACTCTGTCCAGTTG